AAAAAATCCAGTGCAAAAGATAATTATAGAGAACAACGTTGAGAACTTGCATATAAGCCTTAATAACAATTTCAGTACAAGAATTTGAAGCAACTGGCTTAGAAGTTTTTTTTAAATAACTGGCTTAGAAGATAAATTAATCTTAATGATGTTTGATAGTGGTTTTCCTCTTTATGGTTAAGGTATTTCAATTTAAGAAGTAACCGACTTAAAAACAAGTAGTTGTAATGGTGTTTGATAGCATTTTGCCTCCTCATAGTTGAATTTCAATTTCAGAATTAGCTATACTGTATGTGTTCCGTGTAAGGTCGTCATAGAATATTTTTGAATCACAAATAGGAACTCATATAAGATAATTTGCATCATGGTTATTTCTAGGACACGTACAAGGTATGATTTCTCGATGGCATATTAAATCAGAAAACAAAACAACTAAAATCTAATGTATATTCAACACTAATACGAGATGAGAACTAAGAGAGATTAGTATAGGGCCTGTTTGGTTTACATCCTAAGATTGTCACGCCTAACCTTAGTCGTGCCACAACATCTTAGGCATGTGTTTGGTTCATTGCCACACTTTTCTAGCAATATGGTCCACATGTCATAGGCTCAATTTTTTTTTGCCAAATCTTGCCACACTTGTGGTGGCCATTTTGTTAGCCACACTTTGCCTAAACTTAGTTGTGGAAAAGTTAGTCTTGAACCAAACAGGCCCATAGTGTGGTGTGTAAACCTGCTAGATCTTGGGGGAAGAAATTGTTAGAAGGGATAGAGAGGGAGAGTATTGGCGGTATATGTTGGATGTATGATTAAGCCTCGAGAGCGAGTATATATCAAGTACAAGACTTGGAGGGCACGAAGCCCCTCCTGGAGATAAGGTAGGAGAGGGATTACAAATCCTAGACTACCAAATACATGTATCCCAAATATATCTCTAACATACCCCCGCAGTCGTAGCGGTAGCATTGCGAACAACAGGAGCGTCGCGGACGGTCAGACTGGAAAGAATAACAGTCGACGAGCCGACATTCCCGCGCAGTCGTAGCGGGGGCGTCGTGGATGGTGCCGCGTCACGGATGCGTTGACTGTAGAGGAAGCCAACGAGTTGCTCAAGCGGATGATAACCCGTTGTGCCGTTGTCGAGATAGCCGAGAGCGTGGGTGGCATAGCCGTGGTTGAGGTATTCGTGCGAAGAACACCGTGGTCGATGTCGAGGCGGGGTAGCCGGTGTCGAGGAAGTCGCCATGGAGCCGCGGGGCAAGGGGCGCCAAGTTAGTCATGGGCGTAGTAGTGTCGAGGTAGTGGTCCGACGGAAGGAGGAAGGTATTGATGAGGCGTCTCGCCTGGTTTGCCAAACCCGGGTATACATCATAGACGAAGGCACGCGTCGGTGTTGCCAGCACCGGGCATGTGTAGACGGACAAAGATGAAGTTGATGAAGTGTTGCACCAGGCTTGCCATGCCCGGGGACACATCGTGGACGAAGGCACGCTTCGGTGTTGCCAGCACCAGGCATGCATAGATGGGGACCTGCACGCCATGTCGGAGAAGTCAGAGAGGCCAGCAGAGAAGGACTCGCCGATGGTTGCGGCGCCAATCGGTGCGGGGCCGATGTCGCCCGCGGTTGTTGGAGTAGACGAAGTGGTTGAGGTAGATGACGGCGACGTTGGTGACGAGCTAGTGTTGGACGAAGACGAAGGGGGTGGACGGGCAGCGGCGGCGGTTACGTGGGTCGACAGCGGCGAGGGCGACGCAAAACGATTAAGCATAGATCGGAAAACCAAAAAGAAAAAAAAACGCCGATCAAGGTGACCGACGGGAGAGACAAAACCCGGAGGAAGGGCTCGGGGAACAGACTCTCTAGGGCAGCCGGTCAACACAACTGATGTACGAACCCTAGGTACGAGCGGCGCGGCCCCCGACGGCGGTCATGGAGGCCGACCGCCCCGGGGGCGGCGCGCGGGTGCGGAAGCGATGGGCGATGGTTAGGGTTTGGACCGGTTAGGCTCTGATACCATGTTAGAAGGGATAGAGGGAGAGGATTGGCGAAATATGTTGGATGTATTATTGAGCCTCGAGGACGAGTATATATATTAAGTACAAGACTTAAAGGGCATGAAGCCTCTCCTGAAAATAAGATAGTAGACACATTACAAATCCTAAATTATCAAATACATGTATCCCAAATATATCTCTAACATCAATGAAGCAGGTTACCTCGTTGAGTCATCGTAGAAATCCAATCGTGAGCAGCAAAGCAGGGAGATCAGAAGCAGATGGGCGGCAAGGGCACACAACGGCGGCGGCGCCTAATCTCACCCACGTAGAGGCTAATCGTGGACGGAAGAACGCAGTTACGCAGCTTCTTTCCTGCTAATCTGGCTACTAGTGGGCTTTCACTATGGGCCTTTTCTTTTTTTAACATATAAATTTGAGATAGGGGAGCCAAATATACTTGCACGTGTTTTTCTGGAACATCAGTACAGACTTAAGCGCTCATACATACGCGCATACACTCACCGCTATGAACACACACACGCACACCCTACCCCTATGAGCAGCTCCGACAGACTGAGACAACATATCATCTTGAAATTTACGAAGTCATTATAGGCGCCTCGTCGTCGACGGGAACGTCTCCTCCCACTGAAAGTGCATCGCCTGAAATCCTGAAATAAATCCAGAAATAAATGCGAGCATCAGGACTTGAACCCTGGTTGGCTGGGAATATCACTGTCCCTCTAACCATCCAACCACGGGTTGGTTCGCTTG